GGGCGGGGGCAAAGAGATACGGGGGCACAGCGAGATGCTTGGCCACCCCTGATCAGCAATACCCAATGCGTGTAACTACTGCCCTCGCCCGCCACGCCCTGGCCGCGCTCCGCCAGCGCCTGATCGGATGTGACTGCAGGCGGGGCGGGGCGCGGCGGGGCGGGGCCGCGCAGACAGGCGGGGTGGTATGGCGTGTCCTGGCGCGGCCGGCACGCGCGTGCTCCGCGCACCGCGTCACGGCAAGTCACGGCTCACCGCCTCGCGGCCGGCCCGCCGAGCCCCGCCGAGCCCCCGGCCCGCCGAGGCCAGCGAGCCTCGGGCGCTCAGCCATACCGCTAGGTCATTTTAGGAATCCGTCGCAGCAGAGCAAGACTCTCCGCTCCGAATAAAAGAGAAAGATGCCGTTTCGAGACGGCCCTTTGTGAAATGTTTTCTGTAGTGCAGACGTCGTTTTTGATTCTCCCCGCGAAGTATGCAGGGTGGTCCACAAAACCCTTCATTAATTTTGCTTATGCTGGTGTTGCATGATCGCACGGAGCCAGAAAGCTCCACGATGAGACACGGTAGGCAAGCCCTACAGCACTCCTCGGTACAGTATAAGCAAAGGGAAGAGAAGGCTCCGCGGAAACGGTCAGTGGTCGCGGTATAGAGGCCGCGTCGGCGTGAGCAGTGTAACCGTTCGCGCTCCTTGGCGCGATGTGGCGGGGCGGGGCGTGGTGGGGCGTGGCCTTTGACAGTGAAGCAGTGCCAGGCAGAGGAGTTTAGAACCTTGCAGCATCCGATCAGATACCGGGTCTGATGGGGCTGCGCCGGGACAGCAGCGCGCGGGCTCGACGCGCCGTTGTTGTTGTTCAAGAATAGCCTCTCCGTCATCGTCATCGTCCACATCGTCGCGGCCGTCAGCATCATCATCAGCACGGGGCCCGATTGTCCTGCCCGCGAGCCGCGGGCCGCGGACCCCGGCCGCTGGCACGGGAAGCTGCACGGCGGGCGCAGCTCCTTCCGATGTTTAGTGAAGCCCCACGTTGGTGCCCCGCGGTCTCCCCCCACCCCCCCACACACACTCACAGACAAACGGACAGAGGAGGGGCGGGCGTTGTGAGTCCCCGAGTGTCAAACACCCAGTGTGTCTGTCAAACAACCTGCCGCGGTGTCGTTCAACATGCGAGCGACTAACTCCTGGGGATCGCGGCGGGGGGAAGCGCTGGGACGGGCGAGCACGGGGGCCGGCACCACGCAGCTGGGAGGAGTGGGGGAGGGGGGGCACGCAAACCCGCTGACTTATTTATGACCACGAATTAAAGGGGGACGATCGGGACACACGGCTCGAAAACTCGCGCGTCAGCGCACCAGTAATTCGGACATGCAGAGGCGCCGCCGCCCTTCCTCCTGATCTCTCGCTCTCCCCCTCCTCAACCCACCCCCCGGGGTGCGCCTACCAATCATTGGACGGGGACTACCAGTTACACTGACACTAGGGCGTCGAGGCGCCGTGTAACTGCATCAACTACGGGCGAGGGGCACATCCGGTTTGTCAATAGTCATTCAAGGGTTTTGTTTGGGGCGCCGCCGGGATCGCCAGTGACACGCGTCCCCGCGTCGTCCGCAGATCCTCCCGGAAGTGAAGCGCGGACCTCGCGCGCTGTAACAGGTGGCACCCCGTCCCCTCCCCCTGGCCGCGCCCAGGCGACGCACCAGCCCCCTCGCACTCAGAGTTGGCAGCGCGGTCTTCTTGGGCCGGCCCGCCTGCCATGGCCGCGGTGTATGAGAAATTACCATCATAAGTCGGGATTGGAAAGAAGAGAGTCACCGCCGCGTCGTGGAGAAGCAGGGAGTGCAGCGCCCCAGCATGTGACTGTGGGGATGCGCGACCATGGCGGTATGGGGGCGCCCCGAGCCGAGGTGGAGGAAGACATGAGACCGTATTAATTAAGTCGTCGGAAGACTTCAAAAGGCGTCCTCTCCTCGCAGCCCCCCCCCCCCCCCCCCCCCCCCCCCCCCCCCCCCGCCCACCGCCCCTGTCACGGGCGGAAGTTCCTGGGATGGGGACCCGAGGGGGGCGGGCGGGCGGCGGGGGGCTGCGACTGGTGGTGTGGTGAGCGCCGCCGCCGCACCGGGCAGGAGACAGCGCCAGGGCAGACAGGCTGCTGCCACACATGAGACGCCCGCGAGCTTGGGTAGGTGACGGTGACGTTTATCGAGTCATGCTGCAGAAGGACTGCCATATCGTCCTTCTCTTCATCCTACTTTGGTGCGCGGGGCGCGCCGGCCCAGCGCCAGGCGCGCGGCTCCGTATCAGCGCTGCTCAGGGTGGGGCGGGGGGCAGGGCGGGGCGGAGGGGGGGAGAGCGATAACCCCATCCTGGCCTCAGCTGTCGCCCCATTTATTTTTACATCCCGTTAATGATGGCCACAATCACATTTCAGCCCAGCCCCATCATGGTCAGCTAAATTACACGTCTGTTTCATGCTTGGTTTCATGCGTCAATAGTAACGAGTCTGGGGCCAGAGAGAGCAGCGCGAGTGGAAGGGGGGAGGGGCTCTCCGTGCGCCGCCGCGGACCAGGGGCGGGGCAGGGCGGGGTGAGGTCACATTTTGCAGGTCAGCCCACTGCTTGCCGGCGGTGGCGGCGGCGGCCTGGTCGGTGCGAGAGCAACAAGTAACGATGTGTTGTGTGCCGCCTCGTCGCCTCGTCCCGTCCCGCGGCTATCGGCTGCAGGCCGTCCCCGGGCGTGCCCTCGGGCGTGCTGCAGCGGGGCGGGGCCGGCGGGGCGAGCAGAGAGCGAGCGGCGGGTGGGTCTCGGAGGAGCATGGGGGGCTGCTTTATCACGCGGAGGAGCGGGGCGGCGCGGGGCCGGG